TGCTTTCTAGAACAAGTGTCATCTTCTCCCCAGTATGGTGCACATGGGAGCACCAATTATAACTCCTTCATCCCGGAATATGAAAGATTTTGTTGAGATGTCAGCGGTGGAGTTTCTGTCCTAGGATGTTTGGTTCTTCCCCAAGTGAAGATTTTTATCCCCCGGCGTTGTTATCCCCATTGTGGTCTGAGTAGAATCCTATTTATTTAAGAATTTCTATACTCCCCAGTAGAAGCTATCTTCGTAAAGAAGTTCTGCGCAAGAGAAAGCTTCCATCCCCAGCGAAGCTCTCCACATTCTAACAGAAGATAAAGTATCTATCCCCTAGGAATTTGGAAGTTTGATCAAAATTCAAGATTTTCTCTCAAACTGCAATTTACTTTTTGCAGTATTACTACCCAGGAAGTTATTTCTTCAATGTTATCAATCGTTCGAGGTTGATGGTTTCGAATCTCGATTTCCTACTGAAGTTCATATTGCATGTCCTCTACAGAAGATTAGATGTGCAAGAATAATCATTTGAAAGTTCATTGTCTTCCCAACACCCGACTATTGACGTGGTCTCTCCAGTGCATTACTAAACATGCATCATTACATTGCATCATTACATTGCATCTACTAAAATGCATATCATTTCCATTGCATGGAGCATTACGCTATAAAAAATTCAAACATGCATAAGTATAAGCCAATTATGTCCACTTGTGGTAACTAGATTATTATGCGCTCAAATTTGATTTATCTCCACAACAAGCCTAAGGGCGACTCTATTATGTTTCCCCAGCGGGGTTTGTTTTGATTCACCATCAGTCGGGTCTCTGGTATTCCTCCATCTCCCCAGTAAGTTTGTGGTTTGCGCTTGCCTTTGCAAGCCTTTTGTTATTTTACCCGTGTTTGCTTTGCCGTTAGAGTGCGAGTAAGAGTCGGCGTATAGCCTTTCTTATTTCTCAAGTATTTGAGTGTCCATACTTGGTGTGTGGTAATTCAGATGATTGCCACTCTTGAAGAATTACACCCCGCCTTTGGCCTGAGGGATTTTTTAGTTCTTGCGTATTTGCAACCTATCGAAAGCCTAACATGTTTTTCTTTGTTAGAGTCTTCTTGGACCAGTCCCTTTCTCTTGCAGAATTCACATTCGATCGGTGCTCTTTGAAGGTCCTGCTTAGTCGTTTCCTTGTTTTGGTTTATCCACGTTAGTCGGGTCCTCCTTTCGTTAGCCTAGCTAATCTTTTATGTTAAGAGTCTTTCAGTGTCTCTTCAAAGTCTAGTTGTCTAGCATCCTTACTTAAGCGAATGCGCCCTTTTTATTGGGGCTTTCTTCGGTTAGTCTCGTTCATGTGATCACTAGCAATTCTAAACATTTGTTTCTTGATGATCAACTTCGCTCCTGTGTATCTAACTCTGACCAGACATGCATACCTGTATCTTTCAAAACCCCGCGTCGGCTGGTATCTTTTGTCAAAATCCCGCTTCGGATGGTGTCATTTCTTTTAAATCCACCTTCGATTGACATCATTTGTCCGGAGTCCCATTCGTTTGGTCTCCTTCCTCAGTAAGTCCGCCTTCGATTGGTGTTTCTTTGCAAGAGCTTTCTTCGGTCTGTCTCTTTCGTACGTATCCGATACCAACCACGGATATGTATTTTCGATACCTGTTTCATATGTCTGCTACCAACCTCAGACATATGTTCTTGTATCTTTGATGTCTCTGTCGTACGTATCCGATACCAACCACGGATATGTATTTTTGATACCTGTTTCATATGTCTGCTACCAACCTCAGACATATGTTCTTGTATCTTTGACGTCTCTTTCGTACGTATCCGATACCGACCACGGATATGTATCTTTGATATCTCTCTTGTGCGTATCTGATACCGACCACAGATATGTATCTTTGATATCTCTTTTGTGCGTATCCGATACCGACCACGGATATGTATCTTTGATGTCTCTTTTGTGCGTATCCGATACCGACCACGGATATGTATCTTTGATATCTCTTTTGTGCGTATCCGATACCGACCACGGATATGTATCTTTGATGTCTCTTTTGTGCGTATCCGATACCGACCACGGATATGTATCTTTGATATCTCTTTTGTGCGTATCTGATACCGACCACGGATATGTATCTTTGATGTCTCTTTTGTGCGTATCCGATACCGACCACGGATATGTATCTTTGATATCTCTTTTGTGCGTATCCGATACCGACCACGGATATGTATCTTTTGATGTCTCTTTCTTACGTATTCGATACCGACCACGAATATGTATTTTTGATACCTGTTTTATATGTCTGCTACCAACCCCAGACATATGTTCTTGTATCTTTTGATGTCTCTTTCTTACGTATCCGATACCGACCATGGATATGTATTTTTGATACATGTTTTATATGTTTGCTACCAACCCCAGACATATATTCTTGTATCTTTGATGTCTCTTTTGTGCGTATCCGATACCGACCACGGATATGTATCTTTGATGTCTCTTTTGTATGTATCCGATACCGACCACGGATATGTGTCTCTGATACTTCTTCTCGTACGTCTACTACAGACTTCATGCATGTATCTTTTGATATCTTTCTTACAGGTGTTTGTTACTAAATCCCAACAGAAGTTCCTCGATAACCAAGTTATCCTTCGGTGTGTCAAACTCTGGTTAAACATACATCTAACCCTGATAATCCTTTTTACCAAAAAAAAATATAATACAAAAGATACAGAAAAACCAAAGATATAATAATACCTGACTGACTCCGGAGCGCAAATTTTCGGGTTCTTTTAGTATTTAATCTTCCTCCACCCTGAAAGTTCGAAAGGCTGGCGCCAATCTCACCTTCAGGTTGAAGGCGATTAAATAGGGGCAGTTGTTGCACCCCAAAATTTGCCCTCCTAATTTCCTTTATTTTTGGCTTAGACTTTTGCATTCATCTGCATCTTTTTCATTAGGTCACTAACATGGCATACATTTCATTCAATATAGCTCTGAGGTTCAAAGTTCAGTGGTTGTGCGATACTAGGGTTTCATAGTGGTTAAGGCGCTCATATCCAATAAAGGACTTCTTCTCCCTCAAGCAGCAAGGCTATTATCTTCTGATAAACAACCGATTGTAGGTCATTCTAGTCAAGAACTCTAGGACGTGACCTAGCATATGTGGGCTTCGAATCATGACGTCCTTTCCTATAAGTATACTTGTCATTTGATTAGGATTAATGACTGTGACATGACAATCGTCTACTCCTCAGTTAATCAAATTAGGTTTTGTTGAATCATGGTTCAAAGATGTTTTATCCGGATATTTCTCTGTGCGTCCGAACGAGGAATCAAGATTGTGAGGGTTTCACATCAAGGGAATTCTTCTGTGATTCAGACTTTATCATCCATCTGTAAGATGTTCCTTATGACACTAATCTCAAGTTGAAATAATCGATCGCTAAGGGCTGAGGATTGAATTGTGAAGCGTGGTTCATGACTTAAGATATGAATTCATAGATTTCTCCTTAACCAAGGCAATCATTGTCCTCATCATTGTCATTAGTTATCTGCGATGTGAGTAGGTTTGGATTGAAGTAGGTTTCTCATAGAAGAATTCATGCAAGGTAATTCAAGGTTCAAGGCATTCAAGGTAGGGTTTGTTCAACATGGCATACCTGGTTGATGAGCTTACAAGCTCTTATGAGACCTTGAGATGCATAATCAGGGGCCAATTTCAAAGATATGTGGATAAGATCTGTTGACTTCGGTTAAAGTAAGTTTTGAAAAATTAACTTTGGGACCAAGGTCTCCCTTGAATTTTCATCTAATATGTGTTGGGAATTCGAGTTGCATTTGAAGAATGGTATGGTAAAGGAAAAGAAATATTGGTTCAGAAAAGAAAAATTCATTAAAAATCAGGGTTTCTATTCATTGATAAAAAGTTCAAGTAATTGAAGATCAGGGGAAATAAGGTTTCATATTAATCTTGATCATATTCTTTCATTATCATTTACATCCATCTTTGATGATTTAAGGTCGTCATTTAGGGAAGGACTTTGTCAAGATAAGAGACTTGTGGATTGAATCGTGGAATATGAGGCATGATACAAAAGGCAAGGTTATGAATTTTTTAGGATCAAGATCTTATTGACTATTCAAATTATTTGTCATTCAAGTTGATTTGGGTTCAAGATTGAAGTTAGGAGTTCATTGAGAACACAAGTGTGATGTGGATTTGAAGTTTGATTTGAGTTCAAGATGTTCGAAAGTGTTTGACTGGATTAAAGTCGGCAAAGAGTCTTAAGTATTATTCATATGACTTTCTTGGAAGGTAAAGTGCAGACTGTGAGGTTTTGTTTCAAGTCAGAGTTCATACGCATTACAAAGATGTTCACCGTTATTTCAGATTCAAGTTCACAATGCGTTCAAACATTTATTCAAGAAAATACTATCCAATTCCATTCAATTTCATTCTCATTCATGATTCAAGAAAATACTATCCAATTCCATTCAATTCCATTCAATTTCATTCAATTGTAACAACACCCCACAAGAAAATTTGATGCTTTCATATCTTCAAGCATTTTTTCAAGACTTTGTCATTTAAACTCCGTCCTTAAAATTCATCACCCAACATTTCAAGCTCAAAGGTCATTTACAATTCACACTATAAATTTCAAGTTCATCCAAACCAAACATTCATTATAAAATCATTACAATCTCATTACACCAATATTCTACAAAGAAAAAAAAACCGTTACAAAATACACTTGAACAAAATTCTTTAGTCCTAAAGGTGCTAAAATTCCATGAGTAAACTTCTAATTCCATGCCATGCCAAAGTTCTTCATCTTCAGTTCATGACCTGCACATTCATACAAAAAAAATCCAAGTCAATACAAGCAATCATATCAAAATACCCCCATTCCCACCGCTACCCTCATTTCACACAGACACAAAATGTTGCCTCACAAGATACAAGTAATCCTACTTTATTACACAAACAATCTCAAGATGAATGTCTCCAACGCCAGACTGTACCGGTTTCCCACCAACATTCTCAAACAAATGAAGTTCAGAAGTCTGAAAAAAGATCTTGTCTTTAACCATGAGGTAATCAAAACAAATAATCCCAACTGTGAATCACAGTATGCAAAATTGCAGCAGATGAGTAATCAACAGGCCACAGTAAATGAACAACCTAGTAGCCAAATCAATCGTAATAAGCAGGTGCCATTTGGCTTATTGCTCCCTATCTTGATTCCCCAACTTGCCAAAGATAAAGCAATGCAACTTACAACATTATTTAACAAATTGAAGAAAGATGAAATACCCAAAGATCATTTTGTACGGCTTATGAAAGGGATTGTGGGGGATCAGATGCTTAGAATAGCATTAACGAAAGTGAAACAACAAACAAAAGCCAACGCAGGTTCTTCTGGACAGCAGCACCCTGTAAGGATGCCAACGGTTACTTCCAGTGGAACAAAATTTAATGATCCCCATGCATTAGCACAACTGCATCAGAGAAGTATGAATCCTGCTGCAGACCATTCTCATAATACTTCTTCAGCTATCCAAGTGAAGAGTGAACCGACCTATTCAACTATGGACATTGGTGCTAAAAAGTCTCTGGAACATGATGTTCGAGTTGTGCAACCAAATCAATTACCATCATCAGGTTCTAATGCCGTCAATCAAGAAACTGAAAGATCCTCAGTTCACATACAAGGCCTTAATAAGCATCAACAGCAGCATATACATTTCCCATCGACATATGGAAGCAGTGGTGGTAACTACAACCATTTTTCCGGGACAACTACTGGTTCGTCATCTCTCAGACCACAACCTCATCCTCATGATTCACACATAAGGCAAATTCCTCATCAGAATATTGGTTTAAATCACTTAGGTGTAGAACGACAAAGTTCTTTCACTGATCCTAAGAGAATGCCAGGTGGATCTGCGTCGACTGGTGTAAACAATACAGCACCACAACAAACTTCAACTTCTTGGCAACCTTCAGCAGAACAAAATTCTGGCTTGTTTTCATCTGTTTCATATGTAAAAAAGGAACCTAACGACCTTTCTATTGAGCAGCAACATAGGAATCATTTATCTAAATTGCATGGGTTGCCTTCTGTTAATTCTGGTCAAACTGAACAAGGTGCTAGCAAGGCAAAGGACAACAGCAATTCTGTTAAAGAAGTCAATACTGCTTCTAATGGGGGTGTTACTATTGAGTGTGGTTCATCTGAGAAACTACGGCATCTTAAGAAAGTAGGAGCACCATTAGCTGTACCTTTTGAAACTGCCAACGGAAAGACTTCCAATGCTGGCGTAAGAACTGATTCCCCTGAGCTGTTTGCGGCGGATGCAGCCACTAAGACCACACCTGTAGTAGTTCCCTTCCAATCAGCTGGAAAAAGGCCCAAGAAGCCTGTTAATGAAGTTACGCCTGTCGTCCATACTAAGAAGCGAGGAAGACCACCTAAAGTAGATAGTTCTTCCGAGACAATACGTGATTTGGTGGCTTATAGCAGGGAACACTCAGGGTTGTCCTGTACAGGAGCAGGTATCAGAGAAGGTGGTCCAATGCAAAGGTGCCAAGGCTTACGAGAAATCAGAGGATCCTATCTATGTGCTAGAGAACAACATACCAATAGATCCTCAGTACTATCTTGAGAATCAAATTAGCAAGCCAATTCTAAGAATTTTTGAGCCAATTCTAAAGAATGCCAGCAAGGAACTTCTCCATGGAAGTCACACGAGATCTATTTCTATTTCTACTCCGTCTAACAGCGGTATAATGAAATTTTCCAAGAAACAGTTTAATTGCATTGGTTGCAAAGCTTTACTTAGCAATGGAGACCGCACTCTCTGCTCTCATTGCAAAGGAAGGGAAGCTGAACTGTACTGTAAAACTGTAGCTCAAGTGTCGGATCTTGAGATACTTTTTGGGAGGTTGTGGACACAGTGTCAGGAGTGCCAAGGTTCACTTCATCAGGATGTTCTCTGTACAAGTCGAGATTGTCCAATTTTTTTATCGACGCAAGAAGGCACAGAAAGACATGGCTGAAGCAAGGGTGCAATTGGACAGATGGAACTTTTAACTTCTAAGGCTTTTCTAGTACTTGGGAAAATTTTGCAGGTTACATGGGATGATCCTGATTTAGTTACAAATACGAAGAGGCTGAACCCCCCCTAGGGACTTTCTAAGAGATTGATAACTAACTTCCATAACCCAAAAATTCTAACAGCCCATAACTAACTGTAACATACTCCTAACTAATTTCTAACATTTTTCTAACTAACAAAACAAACCAACTGACAAAATTCATCTTAAACTAACTTCTAACTAACAGTTAAAAACTAACCCTCTAACCTCTCATATACACTGTTGATTCTTATAATAGAAAACGAGATCTAATGGCTAGGGGGAGTTCTATTGTAACTAACTTTTCAACCTTCCTCCAACTGTATAAAGCTATTGCTTCTGCAATATTGAACTGGACAATTCATTCATAAGAAGAATTACATAAAATTTCAAGTCTCACCTTTCAACTTTCTCTCTGTGCAATCAATCTTGATTCTTCAGCACATCATCTTCATCTCTCTCATGCTTCTACATTCCTCGTCTTTCATTCACCTCAAATAATCGTTCAATAACCACATCTTTGACCCTGGTCCCCGTGCTCTCATCTATCCCTGTAACAATAGCCCTCAGATTCTCTCATCAGATTCACAGCTTCGATTCAACACCGCACAACAACAGTTCAATACAACGAAGAAACAAGACGCAAATGCATCACAACATCAATATAGAAGAATGAACAAGAAAGCAAAGCAGCAGAAGCAGTAGAATAAAATTGAAGAAAGAGAGCAAAGATGGAAGATCACCTCAGAGTTTATCTCCGTTAGACCATCTTCACCATCATCGCCGCCGAGGTAGGGGACGCATCCTTTTTCATTCATCTCTTCACACCACGATGCGATTCTTTCCTTTGTGAGACCTTCACCCATTTTGGTAGCTCGATTCCCTACTTCATCACTGTTTAATTCCGGCTTTAGGTTTTGGGATTTTCTCATTGTTTAGATTTCAGAGGTAAGAGATTGAAGGAGGAGGGAGGTTAGAGGTTGTCGATCTTGGAAAAGAGAAAGAAACGAATTAAGGTTGTGTGTGGTTATTAGAAGCAAAGATGACGGAGGCAAGGAGAGAGAATGGTCGCGGGGTTGAGGTGGAGGTGAAAGAAGAAGAAGACGACGGGAGAGATGTCCAGCGACGTCGTCGTGAAAGAAGAGAACAACTCTATCTTTCAACCCTAAATTCCCTTTTTTTTATTTTTCATTCAGTTCCCTTTTTTCTTTTCCTTTTTTTTTATTTTCTTTTTATTATGTTTTAATTCTTTTAATTCAGATAAATATAATTATAAATATAATAATATGATGATTAATAAAATGGGCCAAACTAATCAATTCCTGGACTATGATTATTTTTATTTTTTGCTGATTGTGTCTATTTTTGATGGGGCCTAATGTCATTGCATTTTTTTTGCAGCACATAGTGAATTCAGTTCGTACCTCCTGAGATCTTATTTCCAATACTCATTTCGATTGCGTTTGCGATTAATTTTGACGATTTATTTTCTTTGGCAATATTGGTAAATAAAAGAGATTTCTTTTCAATTCTCTCACTTTTTCTTTTCAATTTTAATCATTAGTTTTATTCATTTCATGTGTTTCGTTTGCAACTTTTGGTATGGATTGTATGCGATATTTTGATACTTGCTGCCTAATTTTACTTATTCGTATATTATTTCATGATTCCTTAGGAGATTTTGGTTCAAATTTAATTGAACTAAAATTAGACATTAGGCTTTCAAATTCAAACATGCTAACATTAGGTAGAATTCCCTCATTCATTCTAACTTTAGGTCTAACCACACACAATAACATTAGGTTTAGAAATAGGCTAATTCCCTTTTGACTTTTCTTTCTCTTTGAACATATGCATTTAAAAACAAAAACTTCTTTTTCTCGTAAACTTCAAAAAATACAAAAAAATTTACTGATGAGAATCATATCTTCGTTAAGTATGTGAGACGATAAGCGGGTCTCTTCTCGACCTTATTGATCTCTTATTCTAAGCTTTGGTGTGGTTTAAGTCTCAAAGACTCATTTCATGAATAAGTAGAGAAATGGCTAAAATCTCTCTCTTGAGGTTAACTAGCTATTATCTACAAGCGAAAAACACCAACAAACATAAAAATCTTTTTTGCCCTCGGGCCTTTCTTTCAAACCCTTTTCAAAAGAGCATACTAATTCACTTATGTGCTGACGCATAAATCTCCAAAGGTCGAGTTGCGGCAGAAGGCGAAATTAATGTTGTTCATTAAAAAAATACCAACCGACAAAAACATATAAGCCGAACTACGGCTGCTCTGATTCCTTAAAAGGGATACGTAGGCATTGGGGTAGGGCCCAGACGAGCGTAATTTTATTTTCCCTACATTCTTTTCTCCTTTTCTTTTGCATGCACTTTCCCTTTAGCAATAATAAACCGTAAGCATAGATTAAACACACCCATAAGATAGACAACAAGAATGGATACCGTAGAGTACTACGGGCGTGTGGGGTGCTAATACCTTCCCCTCGCGTAACAGACTCCCTTACCCGATCTCTCGGTCGCAAGACCGTGACTTCTCCCTTCTCAGGTTTTCTCGATGTTTACCTTTCCCTACATATGGGATAAAAGACGTTCGATGGTGACTTCATTGTTTTGATGATTTTCAGCCGGTTGTTTCAACTACTAGGCTTCATCGTCAGCGGTAAAGGTATCGAAGTGGACCCTGCCAAGGTAAAAGCAATACAAGAGATGCCTGCTCCTCGCACCGAGAAGGAAGTCAGAGGATTCTTAGGACGACTAAACTACATTTCCAGATTCATTTCTCACTTAACCGCTACTTGTGAACCAATCTTAAAATTATTGAAGAAAGATCAAGTAGTCATATGGAATGATGAATGCCAAGCTGCCTTCGACAAGATCAAAGAGTACCTACAAGAGCCTCCTGTTTTGATGTCACCAGTCGCGGGAAGACCTTTGATCATGTATCTAACTGTCTTGGAAAATTCAATGGGGTGTGTGTTGGGGCAGCATGACGAGTCTGGACGAAAAGAGCATGTTATTTATTACCTGAGCAAAAAGTTTACCGACTGTGAAACAAGATATTCACTGCTCGAGAAAACTTGCTGCGCTCTGGCATGGGCTTCTCGCCGGCTAAGACAGTATATGCTGACCCATACTACCTTATTGATATTCAAGATGCATCAAATTAAATACATATTCAAGAAGCCTGCCCTCTCTGGGAGAATAGTAAGATGGCAGATGATCCTGATTGAATACGAAATTCAGTACACTACTCAAAAAGCAATAAAGGGTAGTGTTCTAGCCGATCACCTTGCTCATCAGGCTGTGGATGACTACCAGTCCATGAAATTCGAATTCCCAGATGAAGACATCATGATGGTAAACAACTGTGAAGAATTCATACCATATGACAGACCTGAACAAGGATCCCGATGGACCTTGGTTTTTGATGGAGCCTCTAACGCACTTGGAAATGGCATGGGTGCTATAATCATATCCCCTGAAGGATGTCATACTCCCTTCACCGCAAGACTTTGTTTCAACTATACTAATAACATGGCATAATACGAAGCATGTATTTTTGGTCTCAAAGCTGCCATAGATTTGGGAATCAAGTCCTTAAGTGTATTTAGAGATTCAGCCTTAGTCATCAGTCAGATCAAAGGAGAATGGGACACGAAGCACCCTAATATCATCCCCTACAAAGAACATGTGTTGACATTAATCTCATATTTTGAGGAGATTACCTTTGAGCATTTCCCATGAGAGGAAAATCAACTAGCAGACGCACTGGCCACTATGTCATCCATGTTTAAACTCAAGTGGGGTAACGAGGCACCCCAGATCACCATTGAACGGATGGATGAACTAGTTTACTGTCACGAGATCGATGCTGAAGAAGTAGTGGACAAGCCTTGGTTCCATGAAGTTAAGAGGTATCTCGAAGCCCAAGAGTATCCGGAGGGAGCTTTAGTCAATGATAAGAAGTTCTTGAGAAGATTCTCTGCTAAGTTCTTCCTCACTAATGGAATTCTTTACAAGCGCAACCACGAATCTGTTTTACTTCGTTGCATAAACAAGGTTGAGGCAGAAAAAATCATGACTGATCTACATGAAGGCACTTTTGGAACCCATTCTAGTGGGCATATGATGGCTAAAAAGATCCTATGAGCGGGGTACTACTGGTCCACCATGGAAGCAGATTGCCATCAGCATTCACAAACCTGTCACAAGTGTCAGATCTATGCTGACAAAGTGCATATACCTCCAATGCCTCTAAATGTCCTGACTGCTCCCTGGCCATTCGCGATGTGGGGCATCGATATGATTGGAGAAGTCAAACCTATAGCTTCTAATGGACACCGCTTCATCTTGGTGGCCATTGACTATTTCACAAAGTGGGTTGAGGCAGCTTCTTTCGCTTCCGTTACCAAGAATGTTATGGCCCAGTTCATCAAACAGAATCTCATCTGTCGGTATGGTATCCTGGAGAGAATCATCACAGAAAATGGTACAAATCTCAACAATACTACGATCATCGCACTATACGCGCAATTCAAGATCCAGCACCATAATTCTTCTCCTTACCGGCCAAAGATGAATGGTGATGTCGAGGCCGCAAATAAGAACATCAAAAAGATCATACAAAAAATGACAGTAACCTACAAAGACTGGCATGGGATGTTACCATTCTCTCTCCACGGTTACCGTACCACAGCGCGCACATCAACAAGGGCAACTCCCTTCTCCTTGGTATACGGCATGGAAGTTGTTCTACCAATCGAAGTCTAAATACGTTCTCTGAGAATCATAAAGGATGCAAGGCTGAATGAAGATGATTGGATCCAAACTCGCCTTGACCAGTTGAATTTGATTGATTAGAAGATGCTTACGGGTGTCTGTCATGGTCAGATGTACCAAAAATATATGATCAAGGCTTTTAACAAGAAGGTAAAACGCCAGGTA